ACACACACACACACACACACACACACACACACACACACACACACACACACACACACAACTCAAAGGGATGAAGATGAAGAGGAAGAAGAAGAGGGAGCCCTTGACAACAGCGCCGAACTACAATCACGTGACAATTCTGCCAAACCATCACCTGTGTGCGCGCGCGCGCGTGTGGTACTCACTCGTCTGGGCGCGTGTCCTCGTTCATTTTTTCCGTTTCACCGCCGAAGGTACCGAGCAGCTGCCGCCGCAGCGCGGAGCGGGGTCCTCATGGTTCCTGAGCGGGTTTCTGATCCCGGTGTGTTCTCTGGTCTGCTCCTCCTCCTCCTCCTCCTCCAGCTGCTGATGCTGATTGACTCCTGGGCTGTGGGAGCGCAGCCTCCTCTTCCTCCTGCAGCGCTTCCTCCTCCTCCGGACCGGGCCTGGTGAGCTGCTGTCGGTGAGGATGGCCCCGCACGGTCCTCATCTCCTCACTCCATGATGGACTCAGCGAGGGAGGGGGTGACGTCAGACCCGAAGGACCGCAGTGTCATATGGCGTCACCACAGTACCATCATCATCATCATTATTAATTTCATGTTGTTGACAGACTGCGGTATTTCAGAGTACTTTCTGGTACCAATACTTTACATGAGTACTAATTAGCTACTAAGATTTTGTTCTGAAAGTTCTGTGCTCTTCATGTACCTTACCCTTTCAAAATAAAAGCTCATTAAGTGATCTGCTTCCACCTGGCGGCCGTGCAGTGCTACTGCGCATGCGCGTTTAAAACAAGGTACCCTACTGTAGAAGTTGAAGATGATAGTTGATCCAGCAGAAAATTGTTGTGCCAGAGTCTCAGTATAAAATAATATACACAAGGGATCTGAGAAGATATAAAAATAACAGAGAATATAAAAAATACCAGCAATTAAGTTCTTAAACAGGTCAGGTGCAGACAGAAACATTAAAGTGTTTATTGTAGACAGGATTAATTTTATTGTCGTATGAGTAGAAAGGGGGCGGAGCTAAAAAGTTGGACAGCCACAGAGAGGAAGGGCTTCCTGTGTTGTTCTGTGGAGCACCTCGGTGGTCTCAGTCTACGACTGAAGGTGCTGAGGTAAGAGTCCAGTGTAGCATGCAGGGGGTGTGACATGTTCAGGATCTGGAGCAGTTTCCTCAGCATCCTCTGCTCAGACACCTCTGTCAGAGACTGCAGGTCCACTCCCAGAACTGAGCCAGCTCTCTTGGCATCAGCTTTCTTCACCCTGCTGCCCCAGTACACCACAGCGTAGAAGATGATGCTGGAGACCACAGAGCGGTAAAACATCTGCACCATGGTCCTGCAGATGTTAAAGGACCTGAGTCTCCTCAGAAGAAAAAGGCGACTCTGCCCTTTCTTGTAGAGGGCGTTGGTGTTAGCTGTCCAGTCCAGTTTATTGTTTATGGACCCCAGGTACTTGTAGCAGTCCACAGTGTCCACCTTAGTACCCTTGACGCTGATAGGGTTGGGGAGGCTGGTCTTCTTCCTGTAGTCCACCTGCAGCGCTTTAATTTTTCCTACGTTGAGTTGCAGGTGGTTCTGTCCACACCAGAAGGTCTGATGCTAAATGTTGTCAGTGGTTATGCTCCACAGGTTGGATGTGATGTGGAGGAAAAAGATACATTTTGGAAGGATCTGGATGAAGTGGTAGACTACTCCCAGGGAGAAGAGAGTGGTGATCGGAGCATACCTGAATGGTGGTGAAGGAAGCAGAGGGGATGAGTATGCACATAGATGAGGAAGTGATGAGTGGGTTTGGTGTCAAGGAAAGAAAAGAGGATGGACAGATGGTGGTGGATTTTGCCAAGAGAATGGAAATGGCTGTAGTCAACACTTATTTCCAAAAGCGGGAGGAACATAGAGTGACAAAATAGCTAGAGTTGAACTTGCACCATACCAAAAGTCATAGCACCCTTCGCCTGACGTTTGTGATATATGATTTGTGGAAATAGAACAAAAACTATGGAACAAGAAAGATGCCGAAAATTGTACAGAAGAAAAATGCATCACAATTGTGTGAATTCTTTATAAGCATTCACACAGTTAGCGAGACAGATAAGGTACTTGTTGTGTCATCTGGACAGAGAATAGATGATAAGGAAACCTGGTGGTGGAATAGTGAAGTGCAGGAAGACGTTCAAAGAAAGAGGTTAGTGACAAAGATGAATAAGATTAGGAATGAGCTCATCAGAGGTACAGCACAGATTGAACTTTAACCTTTTTTGTAATTGGGAGATAAATTTAGAGAGGCAGACTGAGGGCGGTCATGTAGATCTTCCTCTGGACATGTCCAGAGAAGGGACAGTGGGTATATTGGTTGAAGGATGTTAGAAATGCAGCTGCCAGGAAAAAGACAAAGAGGAGATATATGGATGCAGTTAGAGAGGACATGAAGGTAGTTGGAGTGAGGACAGGGGACACAGAAGACAAAGTGAGGACAGAGGATGCAGAGGACAGAGTGAGATGGAGGACTTGCTGTGGAGACCCCTGAATAGGGAACAGCTGAAAGAAGAAGCTTCATGCACAGTGCCTGAAATTAACACTTTTAATCAAGTGTAAAATGTATTTTACTAATTGTCTTTTGTAATGTACAGTATGTGAATGTTTTTGTACAAAGACCTGAGAGGTCTTCAGTTAGGACTTAGAGCTACAGAAATAAACTGAACTGAATTAAATTAAATATGATTTATTTTGTAAATATTATCTTATTTGTGAAAACATCATAAATACATTTAACAATGTACTTTCATTTTTAATAATAAAATCTACAATGACAAGATTAATTGCTGGCTGAATGTGGTAGCAACCTTGTTGCATTTGAACGCACCACCCAAGTGCATTCTGGGAAAGAAAAAGATGGCGGGTCGGTTCAAAACTCCTCTCCAGCCCTAATCTGCGCGGAGTTCACCGACTAGACCGCAGTCTGGATCGAGTAATGGATCCAGGTCGGCCGAAGTTCGAGCCTCGGGTCGGGGTAGCGGCTACCGGGACGGAACCACAGACAACCAGACCACCGAGAGCGAACCGTCTGAGCCGAAACTTCAGACTGACTCAAGCGGCGGAGCTGGGCTCTCCCCCGAGTCCGCGCGTCCCAGGTCAGCAACGGAGGTTCCGATTAATTTACTGTCACCTTTTGTTGGGCCGAACCGAGCCAAGATAAGGACACGCTCCTAACGGTTCTGGTCCAAATGTTCCGCTTCTTTCAGAAACCCGAATAAATCCGAAAAGTTCCGACTTCAGTTCGGCTCGGAACTGAGTGACCGTCAGCCGTGATTCAAGTTACACCAGATTACTTTCATTTAACTCCTTTTAGTTTTGCGTAACGAAAATTATAAATACAGAATTTACTGTAAAGGGACGAAGTTTTATTTAGATTTCAGTTATTTTACATAAAAATTCGTCTGGAGTTAAACTTTTTAAATATGTTTCTGTTTGAGTGAATTTTGATCTTTTAGTATACCTTAAACCAAACGAGTAAGAATCTCAAAGTTCAGAGGTCGAGATTTTTTGAGGTCGATCTCTAGAAATCAGGGTTGATCGATTATTTATTATTGTATTGTTTTTATTTAGAACTGAAAAATTGGCCAAAATGTATATTTCATTTAACAAAATGGAACAAGAATTGCATAAAATTTATATGAAATATCGTAGAACACTTACTATCCCCAAAATTATATAAAAAATAAAAATAATAACGTAGAAGAACGTTCTGCTTGTAGGGACTAGAGGGGACATGTAGGGTCTAGGACATGAAGAGACAGAGTGGACATATAGGGACAGAAGGGACGTGTATTTTTGTTTTAAATGATACCCAGGTGATTCCGATGGGTTTAAAGTCTGAATCTGTGGTTCTGTGTCTCTTCTGGTCCAGAGTTCAAGACCCCCACCAGGACCCCCAGAACCAGACCAGCTTTCTGCAGAGAGCCTCGTCAGAAAGACTTGGACTTCCAGCAGGACATCATCTGGGATGGCACATCCCCGACGCCCCGCAGACCTAGTGAGTTGGGTCAGAACCAAATTGGAGGATCAGGTGGGTCCGTTCACTTGCTGGTTCTAAAGATCGCTTGTGTTGCGTTCAGGAAAACGAGGGAAAAAACAAACCTCCAGAGTTGTGAACATCTCAGAGATCGTCAGCAGGATCGCACCGAAGGTTAGAACCGTTCTGTTCAGGTCTGATCCGGTGATACAAACTGTTACTGATCTGTGGTCTTGGTTCTGTGCAGCATGGCAGGCCGGAGGCTGCAGAACCGAGCCTGCAGCAGTGGGTCGGAGACAGCGCCACCATCCCCTGTACTCCGGACATTAAGGCTCCCAGAACCAAGAGGAAATCCCCCAGGTGGGTCCACTTCTGCTCTTCTTTGAGATATACATGGTTCTTAAGCCCCAGATAGACTAAAGTTCTGGTTCTTTTGTATTTCTGAGCTTCAGAACCTTCAGTAACCTGAGGTTTGTTTTCATAGCAGAGCGAGCAGTGTGGACAGCCTGCTGCGGCTCGCCACACGGTTGGACCAGAACCTGCTCCGTCCAAACCAAGAGGACACTGTAGACCTGTGGAACCTAGACCCGCTGACCCAGAACAACCTGGACTTCCAGAACACTCATCAGAACAAACCTTCAGCCTCACTTCCTGAGAACTGTCAGACACCTGTGAATGCAGCACCCCGGACTGAAACGGACCAGGACCAGAACTGTCAGACACCTGTGAATGCAGCACCCAGTACTGAATTGGACCGAGACCAACAGTTGCAGGATGACCTGGACTTCCTGTTTGATGGACCGACTCAGAACCTTAGTGGGAACCTGAGTCCGGTGCCTTCAGCTCCCTCAGGGAATTGTGGGAACCCGCCTGAGTCAGGTGGACCTGGTTCAACCCACGGTGCATTTGAGGACGACTGGGAAAATGACGACTTGCTAAATGACTTGTTAGTTCTGGAGATGACCCAGAACCCACTGAGCTTCACCGGCTCAACGTTCTGCTCCACCCAGAAACCGTCCGGTCCAGTCAGGCCATTGAGTCAGGGGGAACCGGCTGCTCCAGTCAGGTTGGCGGATCGGGTCGGTCCATCAGTCGGACCCAGAGTTCAGAAGAACCTGAGAACGAGAGCCACGCTCAGACTCGAGTCCAACTCAGGGTTTTCTGGGAACATAATCCAAATGGACCTGAGGACGGACCGACAGGCGGGCTATAGATCTACAAACGGTCACCTGGGTGGGTCTCCAAGTGGGACCGGACCACACCGAACCGAGCTAACGAGTCAGTCAAACCATTTAAAACAAGAACCACAAATTTCACAGATAGATGTGAGGAGTTCTGCTGAGACCTTCAAACCCAATGCGGTGGACTTTGTGGACCTGGACTCTCTGTTTTCATCGGACCCAGTCTGGGACAATCTGGCTGATGATGATCTGATGTGTGAAATGTGTGAGGATCTGGAGAACCAGATCCAGAACCAGAACTTAAACACCAAACAAACTCCTGCTCTGTCCAATCAGAGAGCAGTTCTCCAGCCGACCCAGAGAACTTGTACGAACCGGACCCAAGCAAGTGCTGGTGGTTCCTCAGATCCAGGTGGAACAGCCAAAGTCTATAGCTGGGCAGCGCCTCGATCCAACAGCAACCAACGCTTCAACTTCAGGAAGCAGAACATTCCAGTAACCATGGCAACCAGTAAAGGTACAGTCAGACCTGCAGCAGGCCCAAACGGGTCACCTGAGTTTAAACCAAACTTTATCCTCCCGAGAAACAATTTCGGTTCAAGTGGAAATTAAAAAATCTGATTTAAAACTAAAACTTGCTGATGTAATTTCCTGGTTTTCTCCCCGATGTCACTTCCTGTTTCTCCTCCGTAGGTAAATGTTCCGCGGCCGAGATCGAGCTGAAGAAGAAGCAGGCGTTGGAGAGAAGGTACCAGAGACTGCAGGCCCAACAGAACAAAACCGGGATCACATGAGCAGACATGTTAGGCTGCAGCTGACTGGTGGACTCAGACGGGTCAGGCTGCAGCTGATTGGACCGTGATGTGTCAGGCTGCAGCTGATTGGACCTTGACGTGTCAGGCTGCAGCTGATTGGACCTTGATGTGTCAGGCTGCATCTGATTGGTGGACACTGTCCTCACAGACATGGTCCTGTTAGCTTAAACTGATTTGCTTCTGGCTGATGTTTCTGTGAAGAGATGAACTGCTGTGGGACTACGGCCGAACCCAGCTGTGCCTGAACCACGGCTCCTTAACGTTTATTTAAAATTAAATTATTTATGTTCTTTGGAAAGCCCAAAGGGCCAAAATTACAACTTTAAACCAGAACAAAAAAAATAAAATAATTGAATTTGTTACAAAGTGATCAAAGTTTGTGAAATGTAAAATTCTTCTAAACGAACCAGATCTTCCTCCTGATGCTCCTCTCTTCTTTTGAACAGAACCTTTGGGTTTATTTGCTGTTAGGATCCAAATAAAAATGTCAGAAGAATTCAATGAGCAGCATTTGTTTGTACAGTCTGTGAAAAATAAATAAATTTAATTAATGCCACTATCAAGTCTTAAACAAGATATTTTTCCTTGTAGACAGATTCAATTTGAAGTTTCTGTCCGTCCAAATAAGAGACGGTGCTACAAGCTCTGGCCTGGTGTGAATCACCATGGCAACCAAAGACTCAGCAGATTCTGAGTTGATCTTCGTTTTTCCATCATGGTCGCCTCGTGGGTCAGTTTTGGTTCTGATAAGAACTTTTTAACTTCAGAACTGAACAAAAAGGGAAAACGAGAAGAGGGTTTAACCGGGAGTTTCAAAATAAAGCACATAAACACTTCAAAATAAAAGTGGGTCGCTGCTGAAAGACATTGTTCTGTCTCTGTTGAGGACAGTTCTGGTCACGACCCGCTGCAGTAGCATGTCTTTCAGGTTGGACCATCATCTTCAGAACCTGGCGAAGTCCTTGATGGAGACGAGGGCGTCTTTGTCCACACTAGATCCTGAAGATGACGAGCTCAGAGACAAAACGCATCTATGGTTGTTAGTTAAAGTTCATCTCCGTAAAATCTGCAGGACTCAAAGTGTCCAAGAGCTGAAAGAGAAAAGCTGTTTGTTTGTTTGTTTGTTTACAACCTGCCAGAAAAAGTTGTGTTCCTTCATCAACTGCGCTTCCACCTGCTGGACCAAACCTACAACTACAGATGAACTCAGATCTGCTCCTGGTGCTTCCTGAGGACAGAAACCGAACCAGGAAGGACCAAAGGCTCCTCCCTGCACAGTTTCAACAGATTACAGATTAGTAATCTGTGTGGCAGCAGCTTGGATTAACATATTTAATAAGTAAATTAATAAATCTGATGAATCAGCTCAGATTCTTGATCTACGCTGATCCTTCTGACCTTTATGGACATGCTGTCCTCACTCCCATCAGACCGATGACCCTGCAGACCAGAGGTTCTGTTTGAGTCCTAACAGACACGGGAACCTGTCTAGGCTCACAGAACCTGACTCATCCGGGCCAGGTTTCTTTAAATCCTGCTCTCTGATTGGTCCAAACCTCTGCAGATCACCAGAGGCTCACCTTCTGATCCCCTTGGACTCAGCAACTGTCTGATCCATATTCTGTCCACAGAACCTGGACTCCATTGGCTCTGTCTCAGTTTACCTCTGATAGTGGGTCATGTGACCCCCTCATTAATTATCTGCCTGCTGAGTCAGCGAAAAATGAACGCGTCACAGCAAGTCAGACAGTTCAGGAGAACGAGCTGCAGGTGGGACCTCCAACTCGCCTTCTGCTGAAAACATAAAAGTTTACAAATTAAAAAAATAAGTTGACAAATGGTTTAATTCTCAGATTTATTCACAAACGCACGTCAAGCTCAACTTTACAACAAAACAATTCAAGACTTCATTTGGCAAAAAGAATTAAACTCCACAAACAGAACGTGAAGGTTTAAAAAGCACCGAGAGCAGGAAGCGTCCTGACAACAGATTCATCCGCTGCAGAAAGTAGTCCCAAACAAACACATTTATTTAATTTAATAGATTTATGAACCTACCTGAAGAAAAACTAGTTTATTTTTAAATAACACAAAGACAAAGGACATGCAGTCACACACACACAGATGTTCAGTTCTGATACAAAGTTCTGATCCAAACCTCCCCTCTTCAACTTTTATTCCTAAAGATCTAATTTAAACTTTGTTCAGTCGTCTATTGACACAACTCAAGGTTACGAAACTGAAAGAGGTAAAAGGTCAGAGTTAAGTGTCTTTAGGCTTCTTCACACCAGATGAAGATGCTCTGAGACACAAAAAATCTACCAGAACCTGCAGGACTTTGGCAGGGTTTTGATGAGGTCCATGGGTGGGGTGGGTGTTTCAGTATTCAGAACTCCGTGGGGTTATATGGGATGGAACGTGACGAGTCCATAACAGACCCATCATGGGTCTGTTATGGTTCTATGATGGGTCCATGATGGGTCTACTATTGGACTATCATGGGCCCATGATGGGTCTATTATGGACCCGTGATGGGTTTACTATGGGTCCATGATTGGTCCACATCCTTCTTCCTCTTATCCTCTTTGTGGTAATAAAATAATAATAGTTTTGTTCCACCTCATGTACTAATTGTGATGTGAATGACAATAAAAATCCTTGAATCTTGAATAAAACAGGAATATTGACGGGAGACGCCGCCTGTTGAATCCATGTCCTGAAGTTGGACGCTCAGATGTCCTGGCTCAGTTGAACACTTCCTTGTTGATCCACATCAGGCTCCGGGTCTCGTTTGGTTTGCACTCGTACTCGATGTTGCTAAATTTGTTGCCGAACTGGCAGTGCTCCCTCTTGTAGTAGTTGTAGTACTTGGCCTGCCAGACGGTCTCAAAGGTGCCGGCCTTGTTGAACTGAACACAGAGAGACAAAGAACACAGGGTCAAGTGCTTCACTTCAAGGTCATCTTCACACTCTGCTCTGACTGGACCAACAGACTCGCTGCGGGATCACAGTTTCTCTGTAACAGGAAGTCAGTGCTGTCACCTGCTGGACGCTCTGAACATTACAGATTTGAGGTAAAACAAAAAGTTTTTTTTTTATTCCTGAACCTGTTAATCTTTTTAATTCTGGTTTTGCATGGAGTTTAAATCTTTAATTAATTTGAACAAAACCTTTACACCGTGCTTGGTTGACTGCTCTCAGATCACCAACATCTGTTCGTCTGACTGCTGAGTCAGCGTTATCGTCCGACTGCTGAGTCAGCATTATCGTCTGACTACCGAATCAGCGTTCTTGTCTGACTGCTGAGTCAGCTTTATAGTCTGCTGAATCAGCAGTCTTGTCTGACTGCTGAGTCAGCATTCTCGTCTGACTGCTGAGTCAGCGTTATCGTCCGACTGCTGAGTCAACATTATCGTCCGACTACTGAATCAGCGTTCTCGTCAGACTGCTGAGTCAGCTTTATCGTCTGACTACCAAATCAGCGTTCTCGTCTGACTGCTGATTCAGCTTTATAGTCTGCTGAATCAGCGTTCTTGTCTGACTGCTGAGTCAGCTTTATCGTCTGCTGAATCAGCGTTCTTG